TGGTCCTGCTCCAGTAAACGTGTGAGGAGCCCTGCATGCCGAATGACGAGTTACTCAGAAATCAATGCACATTGGCACTGCCTTGTATTGACATTCTGCTACTTTCTGGCAAGGCCGTTTTCTTTTTTTTTTTTCTTTTTTACATTATTTTCTCTTTGGCCCGGGCAGCACCAAGCAGAAGACTTGAGGTTCCATGGTGTAATGGTTAGCACTCTGGACTCTGAATCCAGCGATCCGAGTTCAAATCTCGGTGGGACCTTGTTTTTTTACCAGCACCGCACAAAAAAAGCTGGTTTAGCATTCTTATCTCTTGAAGAAAATGACAGTTACTCTGAGCTTTTTAGCAAAGGTGGCAGAAAGTGGCCGGTTAGCTCAGCTGGTTAGAGCGTAGTGCTAATAACGCCAAGGTCGCGGATTCGATCCCCGTACTGGCCAACCTTTTACCCTTTAAGGCCTCAGAGGCATTTCAGGATTCTGCTTAGTCTCACAGACATGAATGCTGCAGGATATTTGTGAAAAGGCAGTCGAAATAGCTCAGTTGGGGGAGCGTTAGACTGAAGATCTAAAGGTCCCTGGTTCGATTCTGGGGTTGTAAAACAGTGCTGTTGTTCTATTTTGTGCACAAGGGGCAGGTGACTGAACGCCCTACCTGGTCCTGTTCCAGTAAACGTGTGAGGAGCCCTGCATGCCGAATGACGAGTTACTCAGAAATCAATGCACATTGCCACCGCCTTGTATTGACATTTTGCTACTTTCTGGCAAGGCCATTTTATAATTTTTTTTTTAATTTTTTTTTCTTTAGCCTGGGCAGCACCAACTGGAAGACTTTTATTAAGCTTGGCAGTAAGTGGCCGGTTAGCTCTTACTGCCACCTGTAAGTCGTGGTTATTCTTGGTCACACCGGCCAATCACTTTGTGAGCTGGAGCCAAGATTCACCCTATTCTTGGTTAAGGCAGCCAATCGTGTTCTGAGTTACAATGAACGCTATGGCCAATCAGAGCCCTTATACCATCCATGATTTGTACTGTAATAAAAGATTTCGTTGCGGATTAATTCGGAAACCAATTGCAAAGTAAGTATTTTTTAACAAGGTGGTTTAAATGAATAACCATTACAGTAACGTTAATTACTACAACATAATTATTATATGATTGTTATAGATGTTTTATAACATTATTTGGTAAGATTAATGTTAGCCGACCAAGCAAACTGTACAGTTTTACTACAAACATTTTAATGCAGTTATTAATTAATTAATATGGATCATGCATGATTGCATCACTAATAATAAACCAACAATATAAGGGTCACACATCAATCCATTACTAATAATAATGTTATTATTATTAATGATGGATTAAATTGTGACCCTTATATTTTTGGTTTATTATTAGTGATGCAATCATGCGTGATCCATATTGTTTTATGCTTTATAATTAGTGATGTATTATGCGTAAGCATTATTAGATTAGTTTATGATTAGTGATGTAGTGATATGTGAGCGTCATTATACTATTTGTTTATAATTAATGACTGATGAATTGAGCCTTATATTTATTATTAGTGAAGTGATTCATTAATGTGTGAGAATAATGCACGGGCATTATTGTAACTATGGTAGTAAATGACAATATAAAGTGAAGTAATGTAAAATAACTGCATTAAAATGTTTGTAGTAAAACTGTACAGTGTGCTTGGTCGGCTAACATTAATCTTAACAAACAACGTCATATAACATCTATAACAATCATATAATAATTGTGTTGTTGTAATTAATGTTACTGTAATGGTTATTCATTTAAACCAACTTGTTATAAAAATACTTACTTTGTAATTGTTGTCCGAATTAATCCACAACGAAATCTGTTAATACAGTACAAATCATGAATGTTATAAGGGCTCTGATTGGCCATAGCGTTCATTGTAACTCGGAACATGATTGGCTGCCGTAACCAAGAAGAGGGTGAATCTTGGTTCCAGCTCGGGACAAGATTGGCCAGCGTAACCAAGAATTAAAAAAAATCTTGGTTCTAACTCGGACCGTGATTGGCCGGTGTAACCAAGAATAACCACGAATTACAGGTGGCAGTATGCGCCACTGGCCCAGTCTGCGTCAGCAGTGCTCATTAGCATGCTGCTTGGAAAGAGGACACGGCTCGGTCAACATGCAGTTCCTTCAACGCTTGCTGTGCTTTCTTGTCATGGCAAGTTTTGGTGTCGATAGGATGCTCTAACACAGAGCATGTGACAGTCCCTCCCAAGAAGAACTGTGATCCAGGCTCTGAGACTTTCTCTTCTCCAGGAGGAGGTTGCAAATGTTATTAAAGAGTTATTTTTGTCAGAGCAGCTGCAGCACACCTGGGTGGAAGCCCACAGCTAGGCTTGATGGTCTAGCCTGGTGGTCTAGTAATTAGGATTCGGCGCTCTCACCGCCGTGGCCCGAGTTCGATTCCTGGTCAGGGAACTTCCTTTTCACCTCCATGGTGAACTTCGAGCAGTGGTGCCGATGATATCTTCGTAAAGGCAAGAAAGCGGCTCTGAGCACAAAATACATCCTTTGAGCTGGAATCGAACCTGCGACCTAAGAATTGGTCCTACAGTCCTACACTCTACCAACTGAGCTATCGAAGTCTTACATAGCAGTTCCACAACCACACCCTATAAGGTAGCTGCAGTCCGACCGCTGGCCAAAAAGGACAGGAGCAAAAGTACTTAAGCCTTCCCATACCGGGAGTTGAACCCGGGTCACCTGGGTGAAAATCAGGAATCCTGACTGCTAGACCATATGGAAATTGCCACTTTTAAAACCCAGTCTTGGCACAAACTCCAGTTCTTTCTGATCGCTGGCACTTCCCTGCTCCGCTTGAACAAGTGCCACTCATACACTTAAGCATTCTCTCATACACAGTTTCTTGGTTTCCATAACCGAGAAACTTCTGATCCATAGTCATAAGCGCTATCCTTTGTGCCACTCTGTTCAGCACTTTGTTAGCACATTGCTTGAAGCAAGGACAAGGCTCTGTCAACCCGGAGTTCCTTCACCACACATTCTGCTTTGTTTTTTTATGGCAAGAGGTTGTGTGAATGGGATGTTCTTACAGAATTCCTGACAATCCCTCCATGGAAGACCTGAGATCCAGGGTCGGAGACTCTCTCCTCTCCAAGAGGAGGTTAAAAGTCTTTTGTGTCTCTGTGTCAGAGCACTTAGGTGTTGCTGCAGCTCAGAGACCTACAAGTGGAGGAGATTACACTGCAAGTTGGCTGGATGACCTCTAAGGGGTCGGCAGTTATGCCACACGTAGGCTGGGTTTGCGATTGATGTAGCTGTAGTAGACATTCATAAAAATAAATAAAAATAAAACTGGTTACTCTGAGGTTGTGTTTAGGGTTGGGGTAGGTGTAAAATTTAATAAAACATAGCGGGTTACTGTGAGGTTGGGCCTAGGGCTGGGGTAGGTGTGATTTTAATAAACTGCAATAGGTTGTATTCTGTGCCATGTACAAGACATTGAATCAATGAAACCCACATGGAGGTTTGTTACTGTGAGGTTGGGTTAAGAGTTGTGGTAGGTTGTGTTGTAAAATAGCAATCAGTTTTTTATTATTATTGTCTCTTTTTCTTTTAATCAAACAATTATTTGTATTGGTCATGTAAGGGTCATATATTAACTGAACTTCTAATGTTGTGGGTGAGTGCTGTGCATACTAATTAGCATTTTTGCAGAAGTAGATACATGCGGGTCCAAAATTAAATTCAGCTCTGCAGACACTTCCTGTCTGAAGAGAGGTGTTAAAACTGAACACAAAACATAGAAAGATGTATACTTTGTTGTTGGGCAGAGAATTCGTAGAAAAAGAGGAAGTATGTCGAAGGTGTGGCCAATGGAGGACTGAACAATGACTGACAAGTGACGTTACACCAAAACTCCACCTGTTAAGATCAGTTGTGTATATATGCTGAAGTCAGGAAATGTATGTTTGTTGCGAACCTCTTGAATGTAATTCTTGTATTGCATTGGGGTAATGAAACCCAGAGCTCTGTCATCGAATTATTCATTTGTATCCAATAAATTGTTACGATTTTTGACATTGAAGAAAAACCTCTCCAGACCTTTTCTCTTGCTTCTGACAATATTATTTTAACCCTTTATTTAACGTAGTACTATTTAACTCACAGTAATGAGGTCTGTTGTTTAAATAAAGATAAGATTAACCTTTTGTTCCCGAGAGGAAATTTGTCTTGGGCAAAAAAGTGCTATAAGCAGACAATAATATAAATAAAACAAACAAAACAATTAAGAAGATACCTGAAGAAAGTTTAAGTGAAGTAACAGTAAAGTGTGCAATAAGTGTTTTAATGAAGGTTTAATTTATTAAATACCATAATGTCATTCCATTCTAAGTATACATCACTATAAATAAGAAATAGATAGAGGTAAAGTTGGTTTTATATTCGCACATTCGTTCATTAAGAAGTCTCTATATTGTTTACCATGTTACTTTGAATATTCGATTAGATTTATTAGCATGCAAGTGTGACTTCTCAACAACATTAGCACTGTTTATTTGACTGTGAACAATGTTGCACTTTGATAGTCATTGGCTGCTAATATGATTTCGCTATTTAGAGTTTGCAAAAATTACTTTTATGAAATTATATTATAAAGGGAAAAGTCAGAATGTGTGAATATAAAACCAACCTATCTCTATGAAATTGAGTACTAGTTTTAATCAGCTCATTTGTGGCTATTGTTTCTTGCTCGAGAAAAGTGTGTAATAAGTATTAATGAAATCTTTTACCTGATTTCTTATAGTTAATTACTCTCATATAAAGAAACTGTTGAAGCAAGTGTTGAAGAGAAGTTATTTTGTTTCTGTTCACTGTTTTCTTAATTTTAAAAAGAACATTTTATTGTTTTGTTCATTTTAAACAGGATAAAGTGTCCAAACGCAGAGAAAAACTCCTGCTGAAGTGACTGATCTCCACACAGTTATAAAGATGGCGTTTTTTAAAGAGGAGAGTGAAGATGTGAAGATTGAAGAAACATTCACAGTCAAACAGGAAGATCCACAGGAAAAAACAGGTTTTTTTTCATTGTCAAAGACCAACTCAGTCATTTGATCCTCATTCAGATATATTTTAATAATAAGAATACTAAATTAAATCCATCTTGCAGCCCTGAGTGTGCTGCCTAGTTCTCCTAAATGCACATAAGCACTCATTGAAAGACAGAAATGAGTTTCTTTCTTGTTCTTATCTCTTTTGACATTCTTTTATGTATTATTAGTCTCTTATTTTATCTACCTTCTTAAGGTTATTGCTTTTCTTGTTCTCTTACTGTTTGTAAAGCGTCCTTGAGCACTGGCGCTATATAAGATAAATAAAAACAATAAATTAAAAAAGTTTAACTGAGCTGACAATATTTTACCTACAGTATTCTCATAGAAGATATCTGCTATTACAGTGATAGTGTTAGCTTAGTACTTTCCATTTGCATACGTCACAATAATCACAATTCCAACTTCTTAATGGGTTTAAACTTGTTTCTAGTAGTTGTTAGTTCTCACAGACAGTATCTAGAATTACATCATTATTATAACTAATTACAGGGCTAATAACTGGGTCTTAAAATGTATTAAAATCCAAAATCAAATTGTTAGGCCTTAAAGAGCATATTGTAGGTTAGACACCCCAGTGAGACAATGTGTGTAAGAGTAAAGTAGGAACTAGATTTTCTTTAAAATATACGTTAAAGTTTATTATTAAGCCGTTTGGAGTCGTTTTTAGTCACGGAAATTTACTTCCGCATCTGAAAAATCGCCAGACCGGAAGTAAAGTCGGATGAGGGAGTTCGTGCAAATAACACTATGAAGACAACGGATCGTGGTGCGCGTTTGGATGCCGAGATAAGATATTCTGAGAGGCTCACACAAACGACAGACCACAGCTATACAATTATAAGCCTGTGGACAGACCAGCAGACAGAACAGCAGGGAAGTGTAATTTAACTCTATTGTGAGAAGAACCGAGCAGGTTTATGGTGAGGCCAGTGTTGGCTTACAGCAGGGGTGTCCAAACTACGGCCTGCGGGCCATCTGCGGCCCGCAATCAGTTTTGTGGCGGCCCGCGAGGCTTTTTATAAATATCAATATAATCTGGCCCGCTATACAAAAAATGAACGTAATTCAATAAATAACCACCGGGTGTCGCTATTACACGCATTCAATTAAGCAGCAGTTCTTGTTATGATCTAACTATCTATCTATCTATCTATCTATCTATCTATCTATCTATCTGTCTATCTATAGATAGATAGATAGATAGGAAATTTTACAGTATGTCTGATAATATTTTTTCTTCTGAAGAAAGACTTATTTGTTTTATTTCAGCTAGAATAAAAGCAGTTTTTAATTTTTTATGAACCATTTTAATGTCAAAATTATTAGCCCCTTAAGTCTTCAGAACAAACCATTGTCGCCTAATTAACTTGCCTAATTACTTTAATTTGACTAGTTAACTTAACTAACCCAGTTAAGTCTTTAAAAGTCACTTTTAAGCTGTATAGAAGTGTCTTGAAAAATATCTAGTCAAATATTATTTACTGTCATCATGGCAAAGATAAAATAAATCAGTATCTTGAAATGAGTTACTAAAACTATTATGTTTAGAAATGTGTGGAAAACATTTGTTCTCTCCGTTAAACAGAAATTGGGGAAAAAATAAACAGAGGGGCTAATAATTTAGGGGGGCTAACAATTTTGACTTCAACTGTATATATATATATATATATATATATATATATATATATATATATATAGATGTATATATATATACACATCTATATATGCGTGTCTGTGTGATGTATGTAAAATTTGGCCCGCGACAACGTTTTTTTTTTTGCATCTGGCCCTCGGCCCAAAAAGTTTGGACACCCCTGGCTTACAGAGAGATATGCATGATAATGAAATCTTTTCTAGCAATAGCAAAGCTAGAATTGATCATCTATAAATATTGATACTTACCAGTAACAGAAACTAATGAGCATTTAACAGAGTTATGCCACATTGACCCTATTTTTAATAGTAGATAAGTGAATACAAAACACAAATAACACAGAACATCTGGAATAATGCCGAAACATGTAAACAAGGTACTGGAAAATCTTTTTTATTTTACAAAAGGTTTTCAGAGCTTCTGTATTAAAATAAAAACAACATCAAATATTAAAACAATTAAAATAAGTTTTTAAAATATGTGTCTTTTTCTCATTTTTTTCATTGGGTATACTGTAAAATTATCTGTATCAGATCCCATTTAGGCAACAATCCATAAAAAAATACAAGTACAGTTGTTACTGTATAAATTATTTACAAAGATTTGATCAACAGATCTGATCTGCATTTATGGTCAAATAAACTACAACCCTAATTCAAGTTAAGTTCAAGTTCAAGATTCTAATTCAACTCAAGTTCAAGTTTTATTCATATAGCACAAAATTATAGAAAGTGTTAATACTGGCATTTTTACTCTTTATATATGTATAAGTATCTGTGTGAGTGTGTGTATACTAAAAGAAAAATAAATCATCTGACCCATTTAAAAGTAAACCTAAAATAATTTTTCAGTAAGTTGGCCAACATATATGTGGGTGCCACACCATCATGTCTTTAATGTGTGTTAAATTGTGAATGCTGTGTAAAAAGATGCCGACAGCCTCATCCTTGTAAACTCGCTGGAAGGATCTAGAAAGGAGAGCAAATGTAGTGCAAAGTTCTGCATTCTCGTCGAGCCTGTGAAGACCTCCAGGGCTGGCGCTTCCATGGCGGCGTCCGTGACACTACCCTCACCACCCGCGTCCTCAGTTATGTCTGCGCATAGGGCGGCAGAATAGAGAGGCTGGCGTCCGCGACACTACCCTCACCACCCGCATCCTCCGTTATGTCCGCGACACCTTCTCAGTTATATCCGTGCATAGGGCGGCGTCCGCGACACCTCACCACCCGCGTCCTCAGTTATACATTTTAAAATTCACCTTATGATTTATAATATAACTTAATACAGAAAACCCAGCCACATTTGCAGACCCCTGGATAGTGAACTGCAAACCATCACAAAACTTATACAGTAGACTGTACCGTGTACAGCTCTCATTTTCATCGAGCTGCAGCTATAAGTCTTATTGAATTCATCCCATTTCATGAACCAAAATAGCTACAGGAAACTTGTGGACTTGATCTGTTGACAGGCTGGAGTTTGTGCAGTTTCTATAAACGGAATAATATACCACGATGATGATAAATTACGCTTAAACTAACAACCATTTCTGCTATTAGCTCCTCTGCCCCACTGTAAACAGCGCGCGTCTGTCAGATAAGTCCCGCTTCTGACATCACCGGGGTGGTTAGAAAAAAAAGCGGAAGTGAGAAAACAGACACATTTTCTTTAAATTTGTGCCCTTGCACTTCATAAAACATTTTAATATGTTTTTTTATGGTTTTATAGAGTACTTTCACAAACGAGTTTACCTTTTTTGAAACAGTTTTTTAACCTACAATATGCTTTTTAAATATTTAAATTCTTGTTCACTTATCCATTTCATATCTAAATCTATTTGTAAAGTCTCATCAATTTGTTTTTTGTAAGAGCTAGCCAGATTTAAAACAAGTCTCTTATTAAAAGTCTTATCCTGGAGCATTAGTTTTACTTTCTCAGCGTATACTTTAGTATTCATAATCACAATTCCACCACCTTTATCTGCTCGTTTAATAGTCAACGTTGGATCATTGGTTAATGTGGAAAGAGCGTCTTTTTGTTTTCTAGTTAACTTTTGTTTTTTATATGATGCTTTTTCTGATTCTTGCACATTTTTTCTACATCATTTTCAACAAGTCTACAAAAGGTGTTTACTGAATGATTATGAACTACTGGAGTGAACGTTCTATTAGGTTTAAATTGTTGTGTATATGGGGTTCCATTTATATTTGAATAAAAAAAACTCCTCAATTTTACATTTCTAAAGAATTTAAATAATTCAACGTTGATCATAAAAGGGTCTGATGTATTATATGGCACAAATGATAAACCTTTGCTCAACACTTCAGTTTGTTCAGTGGATAATTCCTTATCTGATAGATTGAATACAAGATTGTCCAGTTAATTAAAAACATTATGTTCAGGTGAAGTTACCTCCCTAGGTTCTTCTCTATTTCCTTTTGTCCGACTTCCTCTTCTTGTTGCTTTCCTTGACCAATATTGCGCTTGGAACGACGGGGCTGGTCCAAAAAAAACTTTTTTTTGTCGAAATCTTGTATGAGATGATGAAGCATAGGAGTCATCTGATTCAGAAGCACTTGTGTGGTTCATTCTCTGTCGTTGTGGATAGGGCTTTGATCTTTCCGACATCCAAGTGTACACTTTTTGATCTTTATAGTCCATAGTGTCTTTCTTAAATTTGTGAATCTTGAAGTTGAGTAATTCCTTTTTGAAATTCTCAAGTTTCTCCTCCATTTGTTTTTGAAATTCATTTAGTTGTTTCTTGTCAAAAGTTTGATTCATTTTAATCTTATGATTTTCAAACTTTTCAGATAGTAACTTCGTTTCTTTCTTTGTAAAGTCAATAATCAGGAGCACTAGATTCATCGAACAATGGTTGAGAATTTTTACACCATTTTTTGCAGAATTCAACATTATCTCGTCCTATCGTTGGTTCTTTCTGGATTCACAGTCCTCGTGGTATTCGACAATTTCTGTAGTACTCACTTAATGTTTGGGCGTGTAGCTCCATTCTGACTTCTTTTTGTCGGAATGCCAACAGTCTTTGTTCCATTTGTTCTAGCGTTTCTTTAGTTTAAATCGTGGACTTAAGTACTTGGCCAGGGAGTAAAATCTTTTCCGCATCATCTGTACTGAATGTGAATGTAGCAGCTTTTTCTTCTGTCATTTTGCTGATCTCTTCGAAAAACATCTTGTTGAACGCTGGCAGCAGGTGTTTGATGAATAACGTGTGTAGAGTTACTGAAGTTTGTCCTGCGCGCTTGCGTTTTTTTTTTAGTTACTTCTTTGGTTTGGTGCGTTAATCTTATCGTTGCTATTATTCAAAAGAAGGTAATGATTCGCACTTAATTGCTTCATACTGTTTTTATTTTTACTTTTTCTTACATTTTACAGGTGATAACGGACAAACAGATATTTCGGCACAAAGCCTTCCTCAGTGTGTGGCATAATTCTCTAACTCCACCCTTTAATCCCATAGTCAATCACAATGTGTAATTACTTAGACCGTCACTCTCATTTCATTATCCATGTAAATTGTTTAAAAATATGATGATAATTGATATGCTGTTTTCTTATGTAGTAATGGTTTTTGAATGTAGGTTTTTTCGTATGTTTCGCAAATTGTTTTTGAATATGAGGGTAAATGTTTCCTGTATAATTAGTTAAATGGGTGGAGGTAAAGGTAAGACTTGTGATTTTTAATCTTCGGGTAATTGTCAAATGTAGAAAACTTTTAATGTCAACTGTTAGAATTTTATTGTATTGATGTACACCTGATTAATAATAATAGTTGATACACTTTATCTCTGTAGAGTGAGGTCGGAAATGGGAAGATTGTTTGTTTTGTTATTGCTGTGAAGATTATAAGTTATTGTTTGATTAATGGATAATGAAATGAGAGTGACAGTCTAACTAATTACACATTGTGATTGACTATGGGATAAAAGGGTGGAGTTAGAGAATCATGTCACACACTGTGGAAGGCTTTGTGCCGAAACGTCTGTTTGACCGTTATCACTCATACAATGTAAGAAAAAGTAAAAATAAAAACAGTACGAAGCAATTGAGTGCGAATCATTACCTTCTTTTGAATAATAGCAACGATAAGATTAACGCACCAAACCAAAGATGTAACTAAAAAAAAAACGCAAGCGCGCAGGACAAACTTCAGTAACTCTAAACATGTATTTCCATTTAAAGCCACAGGCACAAAAAGAGCTTGGTTTTACTCTGACCCCTAAATTAAATATTCTACAAGGTGTATGATCTGATTTTGAGCTGAAACCTCAGACACATTCTGGGAACACCAAAGACTTATTTTACATCTTGTAAAAATGGGTAACTGTTGGAACCTTTTAAAGGAATAGTTGATGCAGAAATGAAAATAGCCTCACCATTTACTCTTCCTCGTGTGGTTTTAAACCTTTATGTGTTTCTTAATCCTGTTGAACCCAAAAGAAGATATTAAAAAAGAAAAAAAAACCCTACTGGCTTACTGTGTTCCACAATAAAGGAAATGTTTAAAACTACCATGATGGAGAGTAAATGGTAAGGTCATTTTCATTTGTGGGTGAAACATCCATTTCTTGCTTATCGCTTTGAGCCTTTATACTAAAGTTAACTTTTTTTTTTTTTTTTAGATCTGATGGTGCTGAAAGAAGAGACTCATGGACAGAATGAAACAGATGAGAAACAGCAGTTTATGAAACCCCAAGAAATAATGACTGATGAAAAACCCACACTGACTAAAAAGACTTCATCACACGGAAGACCTTGGAAATCCAAATCTGGGTGTAATTTCAGCTGTAAACAGTGTAGAAAGAGTTTCAGTCAGAAGTCAAACCTTGATGTTCACATGAGAGTTCACACTAGGGAGCAACCTTTCACCTGCGAACAGTGTGGAAAGAGTTTTGGTCAAATACAAGGCTTTAAAGCCCACATGAGAATTCACACTGGAGAGAGGAAGTTCACATGCCAAGAGTGTGGAAAAAGCTTTTATCATGTTGGAAACTTTGCAGCACACATGAGAATTCACACTGGGGAGAAGCCTTTCAGCTGTAAACAGTGTGGAAAGAGTTTCTGTCATAAGCCAAACCTTGATGTTCACATGAGAGTTCACACAGGGGAGAAACCTTACACCTGCGAACAGTGTGGAAAGAGTTTTGGTCAAAAACAAAGCTTTAATACTCACATGAGAATTCACACTGGAAAGAGGCCGTGCACATGCCAACAGTGTGGAAAAAGCTACTATAATGCAAGAAGCCTTGCAGCACACATGAGAACTCACACTGGAGAGAGGCCTTTTAGCTGTATACTTTGTAGAAAGAGTTTCAGTCTAAAGCTGACCCTGATTGCTCACATGAGAGTTCACACTAGGGAGAAACCTCACACCTGCGAACAGTGTGGAAAGAGTTTTGGTCAAAAACAAGACCTTTACATCCACATGAGGATTCACACTGGAGAGAAACCTTACACATGCACAGAGTGTGGTAAAAGTTTTCCACATATAAGCTCACTCAAACACCACATTAGAACTCACACCGGAGAGAAGCCGTTTACATGTGCTCAGTGTGGAAAGAGCTTCACAACCAAAACTAGCCTCAAGAACCACATGAATGGTCACACTGGAACCATAGTGTTCACATGTGATCAGTGTGGAAAGAGTCTCACACGCAAAGACTACATTAAGAAACACATGAAGATTCACTCAAGAGAGGATCGTTTTAGATGCAGTGAGTGTGGAAAGGGCTTTAAAAGTAAAAGAAGCCTCAACACTCACATGAAGATTCACAATGGAGAGCAGAGTCCTCAACATTGAGGCCTTGTCCACACAAACACGGGTATATTCAAAACGGCAGCTTTTTTACGTAGTTTGTCTGTTCATTCAAGTGAAGTTTATTTATAAACTACTTTCGAGAGGATCACATGCTTATGATTATCCACAGCTGGTCCTGCATTAGCTAAAACATGATTCACCAATCAGATGATTCCTGACTCACTATAGATAACCAGAACACAAAGCTGCGGTCACACTAGACGTTGAGATTGTGAAATTCTGTCGTACGGTGCTGTTAAAAGGGGCGGGATCAAACAAGATTTTTAGTAATTAAAAAAGTGAACAATTGCTCCATGGTTTAAATTTCTGTCCAGAAAGGTCATGTTTTGATCCTCGATTGGTCTCACGCAGTCAAGTGATGCGATTTCGCAGGTCAGAGTTCACAAAGCTTGAACTTTGCACCTCAGCAACCTGCGAAACTTGACGCATGACCCTGTTTCTAGTCTGACGCATTCGCGTGCGTATGAATGGAAGTCTAAGGGAGGAAAAGCCCAGTGTGACCGTAGCTTAACTCAGTTATCCTTGTCTTGCAGAATCCCTCTCCCACCCTTACTCCCCCTCCTTTCTAGATTGGGCAACACGGCAGCCAATGATTAGCCAGTGGTTAGCACTGTTGCCTCACAGTAAGAATGTCTCAGGTTAAAGTCCCTGCTAACCAGTTGACTTTTTGTGCAGAGTTTGCTCATTCTCCCTGTGCTCGCGTGGATTTCCCCTGGTTTTCTCCCACAGTCCAAAAACACACAACCTAAGTAAACTGAACATTAAATTGGCACCATAGTCGAGCTCTTAGTAAACCTTATATCTCCCTTTAGCCGACCCTATATCTGTCATTAGAATAGAAAGAAGTCTGGGGAGTTCATCGAGATCTACCTGAGCTCACACTCCCCTCTCGTCCTGCTAACGGGAGGGAGCCCAGGGCTCGAGGATCTTATGAGCTTAGGTCTCTCTCAGGATAGCATGCCAAACAAGTGTGAACTCTTGAATGCATATCAAGTTACTGATAATGAAACCCTTTGTACACCTGAAAATTTAAACTCAACTAAAGAGGGGTGAAGATTTTGCCAGCTGTTTTGTAGTGTAGATCAGGGGTCACAGCCCAGTACCAGGTTGTGAGAGTTGCTATCGGGCTGCAAGAAGGCAAAATAACTCTATATGTTGATAGATTGTATTGGCTTGTTTCATATGCAACAAGTATCTACTTCTGATAAGATGTGAACCAAATGACCTAGAGGAACTCAGGAGATGTGACCCAACCAAAGCAGTTGGGTAATATCCAGGGGGGTTTCATCCTTTGTTATAAATTAGTGTCTCACAGACTGTATTTTGGTTTAAGTTACTTGAAGACAGACAAGTTAACATCACTGCTGATGAACTGCACAATTAATTGTCTTCAATAAAGTCTTCTGCCCGTAAGAACTTTGGTCAGCTTACTTATTTTATGTATTAAACTTATCTATACATTTGCGAGCCACCCAAGAACGCTTAAGCCAAATACAGCAAAATCTGACAATGTGCTTCAACTTATTATGAACCAACAACCATATTTGTGCAGGGTTCCACACAATTCTTTCATGTTGTCACAACACAAATTAAGTTAACTTAACACTTTTAATAAATTTATGTGGATTAAATATTAAGGCCTAATCTCAATTCTATTTTTGTACCCCTACCTCTTCCCCTTGGTGCTTACAACTGAGGGTTAAGTTGAAGGGCTTCAAATTTTACCCCTAAGAATTGGGACAGCACTACAGTACCTGCACACGTCATCATATGTCTTCGCGATTTCTTGCTTCATATGAGATCAGACTATCGCGACTGCTGTACTTATTTCAGTTGTTATTTTTTTGGTATTTATCTTCAGGAAATCACTGAAGGTATATGTTATCATAATGATCTAATGTGGCAATAAGATCGTAACAGTACTGTGCATTTAACACAGTGGCCAAACTCATCAATGTAAACACACAACAACACCATTAACATTATAGCAGACACTGTAAAAAGCTCATTGACAGCCACTAGACTTTTCTGACAGGGTATTCCAGTGTCATCGAGTGTCAGAAATTTGTGGGACTGCTGTACAGGAGTTATGATTAGGGATTAGAGCAGCAAAATTAATCTTAAAAAGATTGCGATCTCGATTCGACCCCCTTGACGATCTTAATCCAGCATTTCTACGATTCTGTCACTCATATTTTCAAGTTAAGGAGAGAAAAAAAGGCGGCCGCACAAGTCTTTTCATTGTTTCACATACATTGCTCAGTGACATAGACACTTCCAAATGATGTTAAAAGAGTCACATACTGTATTTATAAGGTATAATTCACCTGAAAATGTCATTCTTGTCTTCATATAATGATGTTTTCGCAGCCGGGAAATCACACGTGATGTGAGTTGCTGACCTTGAGAGCGCGCTCAACTTAATTATAGACGTGCGCACGTCTACTTTAGTGAACAGAATTTGCAAATGTTGTAAGTAACAGGTAATACAGTTGTAAATAATATTCAGTTTGTGGCACAGAGTGATTGTTTGGGAGCCGCGCGCGAAGTATGAACAAGCACTTTGCAGTCAAAATAAAACCGAAATCGTGCACTTCATTTAAATGATCATATCTCGTTTTAGAGTTATGATTACGACAAGCATTTGATTTGTTTTTTTCTTTCATAGCGAACAGAGTTGTGCATGAAAATAAATCTTTACAGTGTCAGTATAACTACTCTAGCCCACATATTGTTGAATATAATCTAATAATGACAAATGTCTGATTTTACTAGTGAATAAAATAGTCTAATAATGTTGTCAATGACAGATTGCAAGCATAATCAAATCAAATAGAATTACAAGTTCCTCTAAGCAAATCAGAAATCAAGACAATAATTAAAGAAGGTGTTAATAGATTATGGCAAGAGAAATGGGATAAAGATGAGAAAGGCAGACATAGTTACAGTTTTCCAGCTTTATTCAATATATCCTCTTTATTGTTCAGCAGAAAAAAGAGCTAAATATGTTTGGAACAAGTAAAGGATGAGGCTAAATGACAGAATTGTTAGTTTGGGTGATCTATTCCCATCTATCACCAAGTTAAAGTATATAAATTGATGTTAAAATGCCTAAATAATATTGATATCAATAAAAAGATCTGCTATCTACTATTTTTACATTGAGGTAATCTTGTATTGATAATTTCTGGATTTTAATTATGTGTAAGTTGCATAAACTCTATTATTTAGCCACTCACTGTTGTTTTCAAATGACTCATGTAACTTGTCTTTCAGAATGTTTATGGTTGGTAAAGTCACCTCAGATTACAGTGTTGCTATATTCCTGATCTGTGGAAAGAAGAATTAGATGAGATAAGTAGAATACTACTCTGTTTACTATTATATTAAATGCAGTTATGTTATTCAGAACACAGTATGTCCATAGTGTGGAAAATAGATCATGCTTATGAAAAATTACTTTATTATTTTGTACAGCTGTTATTGAAATGACACTAAGTGTAATATTCCATTTTACAGTGAGTAATGCCACAACTACAGGACCTCTTCTTCTTTCTCTTCTCATAATTTAAGAAAGTAAAAAAAAAATCATTTTGAAAACGAAATGCATTGATTTTATTTTTTTGCTGTTTGAAACAACTAACACTCATTTGGGGGATGGTGGGTCTCTAGCGGGGGGGGTCTTTGGAACGACCGCTGGCAAACGCTATGGATGAGCTCACCGGGGGCGTTGGTTGGACCAGGGGGAGAGCCCACCAAGCCATGCCCGGATAGAGACCACTCTCTCCGGCATGACCCGCGCCTGGAGGGGGGGGTAGCGCGTCCCTGGGTTTCGCTGACCTGCCGTCGAGTTTTCGATAACAGACTCAAATGAAGGACTTAGTGCAATTTTCGATTTCGCGGTTGAACGAACCAGGGGTCTAACGAGGGCCCCGTTGCCCCAAAACAAGCGTTCAAACCCGGGCAAACCAAATGCGCACTGCTGCCCTGGTCCTTCCAAGGATCCAGGCCTCTTGGCCAGCAAAGCTAACCCAAAAACAAGCGTTCAAATCCGGGCAAACCAAATGCGCACTGCTGCCCTGGTCCTTCCAAGGATCCAGGCCTCTTGGCCAGCAAAGCTAACCCAAAACAAGCGTTCAAATCCGGGCAAACCAAGTGGGCGCTGCTGCCCTGGTCCTTCCAAGGATCCAGGCCTCTTGGCCAGCAAAGCTAACCCAAAAACAAGCGTTCAAATCCGGGCAAACCAAATGCGCACTGCTGCCCTGGTCCTTCCAAGGATCCAGGCCTCTTGGCCAGCAAAGCTAACCCAAAAACAAGCGTTCAAATCCGGGCAAACCAAGTGGGCGCTGCTGCCCTGGTCCTACCAAGGACCCAGGCCTCAATGGCCAGCAAAGCTACCCCAAAACAAGCGTTCAAATCCGGGCAAACCAAGTGCGCACTGCTGCCCTGGTCCTTCCAAGGATCCAGGCCTCTTGGCCAGCAAAGCTAACCCAAAAACAAGCGTTCAAATCCGGGCAAACCAAATGCGCACTGCTGCCCTGGTCCTTCCAAGGATCCAGGCCTCTTGGCCAGCAAAGCTAACCCAAAAACAAGCGTTCAAATCCGGGCAAACCAAATGCGCACTGCTGCCCTGGTCCTTCCAAGGATCCAGGCCTCTTGGCCAGCAAAGCTAACCCAAAAACAAGCGTTCAAATCCGGGCAAGGCCAGTGGTCTGAATACCATGGGAGTTAGGGGGTCCACGGGAGTCAAGGGTCCATTTCTGAGCTGCTAACCCGTCTCCCAGCGTCCGTCACCCCGCAGCAAACATAAGACCCCATCGCAGACGGAGGCTAGAACGACGTGCGGCTGGTGCCCCATACAGGAGCCCAGGGCCGGTGGTGACCCATTCACAAACCCAAAGACCGATTGGGTCACCAGCGGTACGTCTTGGCCAGTTGGGTCACCAGCAGCACGTCTGTCTGATCCATGCGGTTTGGAGGAGTTAGTGTCCCCGGGCTTAATAGTGGGGTGCCCGGGCACGGCTGGTGATTAGGTGCAAATCTAGGGGGTCCTTTGGAACCAGCGCTTGCCGCCGGAGAGTGCGTGTACCTCGGGCAGAGCGTGCAGGGCACGGCCCCCCCCCCAACGCTGGATCTCAGAGGCCCCAGGCCAGGGAGAGGGGCCGGGCTCGCTCCCCAAGAAGGGTGTGTGTGCCCCGGGCAGAGCGCGCGGGGCACAGGCCTCCCCAACGCTGGATCTCAGAGGCCCCAGGGGCTGGGCTCGCTCCCCAAGAAGGGTGTGTGTGCCCCGGGCAGAGCGCGCGGGGCACAGGCCTCCCCAACGCTGGATCTCAGAGGCCCCAGGGGCTGGGCTCGCTCCCCAAGAAGGGTGCGTGTGCCCCGGGCAGAGCGCGCGGGGCACAGGCCTCCCCAACGCTGGATCTCAGAGGCCCCAGGGGTTGGGCTCGCTCCCCAAGAAGGGTGCGTGTGCCCCGGGCAGAGCGCGCGGGGCACAGGCCTCCCCAACGCTGGATCTCAGAGGCCCCAGGGGCTGGGCTCGCTCCCCAAGAAGGGTGCGTGTGCCCCGGGCAGAGCGCGCGGGGCACAGGCCTCCCCAACGCTGGATCTCAGAGGCCCCAGGGGTTGGGCTCGCTCCCCAAGAAGGGTGCGTGTGCCCCGGGCAGAGCGCGCGGGGCACAGGCCTCCCCAACGCTGGATCTCAGAGGCCCCAGGGGCTGGGCTCGCTCCCCAAGAAGGGTGCGTGTGCCCCGGGCAGAGCGCGCGGGGCACAGGCCTCCCCAACGC